AAAGTTTTAAAGTTTTTTGTAATTTTATCTTAAACAAATTTTTTAATTTAAATAAAAATTAATTTTTTATCAAAATTATTTAAATGATTTCTTTTAAATTAAACAAATTTACACTACAAAATAAATTTTTTGTCAAAATTTAAAACAAATCTAAATCCCGATGTGCACATGTTAATTTCCTTTTTCTACTATCACATAATTCAATAAAAAAAATTTGATATAACGTGTTGTATTTTTTAGAGTTTATGTAATGAAAAGATTTGAGTAATTTTTTAATGACATTAATATTTTTTATAAGTAATAATTAATTTGGAATATTTTAAAATATTAAAAATGAAATACAAAATTAAAAATTAAGAAACTAATCTATTTATTTAATCTAAAATTTTTATCGAGTAAGATATTATATAGTTGAAATGTCATGTCAAAAAATTTCTCAAGATAAATAGCATGAAGACAGCTGTCATGTATTGTGTATAAGAATAACAATGGGTAGAGTATGGATAATGTATTATAATACCCATTAATATACCTGTATTTTTTAAAAAGTATTTATATCTAGCCTCATATCTACATGGATATGAACATCAATCTTTATACTCGTACTCTATGGGTACCCACATACTCATACTTGTATTGATTATTTACACTTATTTGAAAAAAAAATATTTATAAAAAAATATACTTATATTACTTTACATAAATATTATAACAATATAAAATTTAATAAGGAGTTGTCAAAAAAGGTGCAAGCATAAAAAAAAAAAAATTCAAAGATTAAAGTGTTAAATATATCTTAATAAAACAATTTTTTAAACTAAAATTCTTAGAAATCATAGATGAAATTAAATATTTTAGTTTTTTGTCAGTAATGACCCTGTCTTGTATAAGATTCGATCGAACAACGACAACAGAATGACAATGAAATAAATCTCCACAATGGGTAGTCTCTCGTGTCAAATCACTTTGTGAACTTTTGTGGCAATATTGATAATTAACTCTAATAAATAATGATTCATGATTGTTGCAATAGCTTAAAATGAAAAAAACCTTTAGAATGAGAATAAAATTAAGACAGAAAAGTTTAAGTACTAAATGACAACAAGGAGAAATTGACACATAATTATTTTTTAACTTTTAAATATGAAATTATAAAAAAATAACAAATTTAATTAAAATAATATAATACTATATATATATATATATATATATATATATATTAGCATTTTAACTCACGTACTACATAAAAATATTTTATTAAAAATATAAATTTTAAAAAAATTATTTTAATAAATTAAAATATTTATAATACATATTATACATAAAAAAAATTATTTTAAATTAAAATATAAAAATTTTAAATATTAATAATAAAAAATTAATCTACAATAATAGTAAGTAATTATAAAATATTTATAATATATTTATTATTTATAAATTTTTTTACTTAAATAAAAATATAAAATTTTATCAGATTGGACTGTTTAATTCTCGTCTAAACGATGACGTGAAATAAATACCTAGATATCCGTAACTAAATCTATTTTTATTAAAATTTACAAATATTTATCTATATTCAGACTTATACACATAAATATCCGATCCATTATAAATAAAATTTGCAGCGGATATAAGTGGTTTACCCGTTATCATCCGTACTTGTATGTTTTCTTCGTCAAGATGTCTTGTCCTTCTCGTTTGATTGTTATATATATGTCAGGCATTTCTTGTCTTTGCAGTCCCATCTGCTGAGTGCGCTTTAATGATCCGCACCCCCATTTCATAGGAAGAAAAGTCTTCCACACTAATTCCCAAGCTTGGGTCCTCGTTATATATAGTGTGCCAAATTCATCAGCATATCATCCCAACATCTACAAGAAAGACTGAGTACTGAGATTTGAACGTTATTCATTCATTCACACTGAAGCCTCTGGTCCAAGTCATAATGGTCAAATCCAGGTACATCATTCCTTTTGATATATATATATATATATATATATATGAATGATGGCAGAGAATTGTGTAGCATTTGGTAGAGAAAACACCATTTGACCGGGCCGGAAGCTTCATCATTCCAAATATTCACTTTTTTCTCTTTTGTCAATAATTCATGAAAAATATTTAGCCTTTAGACATTAAAATAATAATCATTTTTCATTTTACGAAATTTTTTTAGATTGATATAATTAGGAACAAAAATAAAGTGAATATTACACAAAAATAAAAAATAAAAAGACCACGTATATATAGCATTATCTCTCTCTTATTTAATTTTTTATTTTAGAGTAAATATATTATTCTTTTACGAGTTTACCTCTTTAGTTAATTTTTTTTCTCTTTTTTAACAAACTTATTTGATTTTGACCTTATTAAGTCATCATTTTGGTATAAATTAAAAGTTACATTAAAATTCATGTAAAAATAAATATTTTAAAAATAAAAATATACAAATTAATAGAAAAACAAAAAAAAAAGTAATTTAAACTATATGGTTCAATTGTGGTATTATTATGTTTGGTTTAGATAATTTTTTTGCTTAAAAGTTGAACCAAATAGAAGCTTAAGTTCTTAGTTATTGACTTATTTTATCTTATTTTTTAGTTTAAATTTTACCTTACGAGAGTTTAAGTTAGAAGTAAATAGAATAACATAATATATTTAATTTATTATTTTGATATGCATTAATTATAAAATAAAAGGATACTTTTATCATATCATATTCTATTTTTTTCTATACTATGAGGTTTCTATCTATTTCCTTGATAGGTGCGGTATATATATATATATATATATATATATATATATATATATATATATATATATATATATATTGGTGAATCTCAAATGTTTTCAGATTTAAAATATTTAATGAGGATCTGTTTAGGCTCCAATTAATACGAAAATTAGATATTCAGTTTTATTTTTATTTAAGTTAAAATACAAATAATAATAATTTTTTTATATAAATTTTTTTGTTTTAAACAAAATTTTACAAATTTGCTAAAAAAAACATAAATTCTTTTTTATCAATTTTTTATATTAAGCGAATCTATTTTGATGCAAAAATAAAATTGAATGTTCAGTTATGCGTTAATCCGAGCATATTCCTATTCCAAAAGATTGCACCAATTTTGGAGATGAGTTTCTTCCCACTAAATGACGTTGCCGTGAAGGCGCGAGTATTTTTTATGCGAGGCAATCAAAGAAAGGAAAATTAAGGATATAGAATTAGGTGTGTGTTATGTTACTTTAAAAATTTTGTATGAGTAATGTATTTAAAAAATTTATATTAATAAAAAAATATATAATAAGTTAAAAAATTATTATATATAATTTATTTAAAATTATATTATTTGTTACATAGTTTTATTATTATATATATATTTTATATATTTAATTTCTTATTTTATTTTTTTTATAAAATTTTAGTTTCAAATAAAATATAATTATATTAAATTTATTTAATAATAAATTATTATATTTATAATATTTAAACAAGTAATAGAGCAGTTAAAATTTTGAACAGGAATAAGATACTATCAAAATTAAACTAACTAAAACTTTTAAAAGAATATTATATTAATATATTTCTATATTCTTAATTTTATTATTATTAATATTTAATTATTATATTAATGTATTATGTTATAATAATTTTTTATTTATAATAAATAAAAATTACTTAAATATATATTATATTTTATTCAAAACTAAAAATTTTAAAATAAATAAATAAAAAGATAAAATAAAAAATTGAATATACAATATATAATAATAAAAATAATAATAATAATAATAATAATAATAATAATAATAAGATTATATAACAAATAATATAAATAATATAACTTTAAATAAATTATATATAATAAATTTTTTAAACTAGACAAGTGTTTTTTTTAATTGATACAAATTTTTTATATGGTACATTAAATTTTTTTTTAAGGATAACATATAATTTACCGTAAAATTAACCGATGCACGGTCACGCAGAAGCAAAAAATGTTGGTTAGTTTTTCTATTTTATTTTTATTTTTAATTAGTTCTATTGAATAAATGAACTTAATTATAGTCGTAAAGGTCTTGCCTATAATTTATACTATTCGTAATTGTATTCTAGTTCTAGAGAAATGGACCCTCAGTGAAAACTTTGAGAACCGCGAAGGCGTCAACCAGAGGACAATGGCGGCGACATTAGAAGCCAGGCTTGCCCAATTAGACGATGCAGAACAAAGCTTTGATAAGGATAATAAATTTTCAAGTCCCAAGATCCAAAGGGCACCTATCTTTTTGCTACAAAATGACAAGTGTGCTAAATATTTCTCCCCAAAGATGATCTCATTCGGCCCCATCCATCACGGCAGTCCAAGTCTTAAGCAAGGAGAGCGTTACAAGCTTCTATGGACATCAAAATTTGTTGCGCAATATAGTGAAGAAATCAATCAAGATAGGGACGCAGCAGCTAAAGTTTTGCTCAAAAAGATAGAAGATAATATGGTAAATTTGAAGACGTTGTTCACTGAGGATGCAATCAAAGGTTAAGCACTAAGGACTTGGAATTTTTAATGAGCAATTACGATGACATGGGTGAAACCAAACGACATGGAACGGTAACGATCTCAATTCAAAATCCCAAACCAATTCATTTACTCGATTCTTGTCGCTCCATGTTCCTTTCAAACGATAAGGAGTTTCCCCCCGACAAATACAATGAGATGGAGAAGTGGATAGATACAATCCTAAACCAACAACAACATGATATTGATGAATGCAATATTCAAATAGATCCGAGTGTTATTTGGCATACTTATAAGAACATACGAGATCTTAAAACAGCAGGGATTCGAGTAATGCGATGTGCAGATGAGTCAGACGATGATGCATGGAGATGGAATAACGTGTCTTTCACTCCTAAGTGGTTTAGTGGCGAATTGAGGCTCCCAGTGTTTGTGTTCAACGATGTCACGCCCTATGTATTTTGGAACTTGATAGCATATGAGATGTGTCCAGATGTTCGTTACAACTATGAATGTTGCTCATTCTTTTCCTTCATGGATTCATTGATTGACACTGCCGAGGATGTGAAAGAGCTTAGATTAGCTGGTGTGTTTCAAAACTTGCTTGGAACCGACGAAGACTTGGCCAAGCTCTTTAATGAATTGGGGGATGATTTGCCAACTAAAATGTGCTGCGACAAATTCTACACTCTTGCAGTGGCCTACAGCAAGAAATATATTTTGGTGAAGGAGCAAATTGAAAAGCATTACAGCAATAAATGGAAGACATCGTTGGCTCAAGTTTACAATACTCATTTCAATACCCCTTGGGCCATGATTGCCTTTTTGGCTGCATTACTAGCATTACTTCTCACTTTAATCCAAACCTGGTTCGCCATATTTCCTAAAAAATGAAAATATTGGAGTACTGTTTGTGTGTCTGCAGTATATGTATGTATGAATGTGTGTTTAATGTATAATAAATAAGGTCGCTGTATGACCGACACAGAATAATAATTTTGTAGGGTTGGGATCCAAATTGCATAAACAACGTTCCTGCTTGGTAACGTGTCATTTTAATGTCATATGAAATTTTCCTGTTTAGATGTTCATGCGTGCAGTACTTTGCACGAGTATATTATTTGTAACTATAATATTGTGTGATGCCGTTATTTTGAAAGGATCGAATAGTTTTTCGACTGTATACGTAAAATGAGGTTGATAAATAAATGACGTGGAGCCTGTGCAATAATTTGCTATGAGGTGAAGCTAATGAGTTTCTTGTTTTAATGATCAATTCTATCCTAATTTGTCATTAATTGTGTAGCTAATTAGTGTTATTTTTATTACCAATTTAATTTACCAAGACTTGATAGATAATGACGTAGAGCCTATGCAATAATTTGCTATGTCTTAAACAAGTTATGATTAACTTTCCTATTTTTCCAAACTGTTTAAATTTCATTTCCCATTAATCCTAAAACACAGGAGAATTATTCACAACTACTATGAAATTACTTGATAGAAAGATAATGCTTACTATTTATAAGCCCTGAATTTGGTTTTCGTTTTGGTTGTGTTTTGAATTTTGTTTTTCTTAGTCTTTTGACCTGTGGGTGGTGACAAGAGTAACCACATGAGACCTTACAGTTAATAGTTCTTACTCCCTAAATACACCCCACTGATTGTACCCAGTCGCAACTTTTACTTTCATATATTTTTTACAATGAAGTTTCATGTTTTTAAATGTCATGTACATTAAGTCTGTGGAGTGCTGTAATTATTCAGAAAAAATGCACTTATGTCCTGTCAGATAATGTCTTAAAATAGAGGTACATACAGTAAAAATGTTAACTTTAAATATTAGTTTTAACGATGATATGTAAGTACTTCGTTATTAATTGATCAACAATGAGACGGAGGAGAGAGATACAACCCTAAACCAACAACAACATGCTGGTGATGAATGCAATAATCAAACTGATCCGATTGTTGTTTGGCATACTTATAAGAACATACGAGATCTTAAAACAGCAGGGATTCGAGTGATGCGATGTGCAGATGCGTCAGACCCTAATGCATGGAGATGGGATAACGTCTTTCACTTCTAAGTGTCTTAGTGGCGAATTGAGGCTCCCAGTGTTTGTGTTCAACGATGTCACGCCTTATGTGTTCCGAAACTTTATGGCTTACGAGTTGTGTCCTGATGTTGAATCCAACTATGAATGTTGCTCATTCTTTTCCTTCATGGATTCATTGATTGACACTGCTGAGGATGTGAAGGAGCTTAGATTAGCAGGTGTGTTTCAAAACTTGCTTGGAACCGACGAAGACTTGGCCGGCCAAGCTCTTTAATGAAGTGGGCGATGATTTGCCAACTAAAATGTACTGCGACCAATTCCTCACCCATGTAGTGGCCTACGGCAAGAAATATATTTTGGTGAAGGAGCAAATTGAAAAGCATTACAACAAAAAATGGAAGACATGGTTGGCTCTAGTTTACAATACTCATTTCAATACCCCTTGGGTTATGATTGCCTTTTTGGCTGCATTAATTGCATTGCTTCTCACTGGTACCCAAACCTGGTTCGCCATATTTCCTAAAAAAAATTGAAAATGCACCACTATATATGTATGTACCTACGCGTGTGTAATGTATATAATAAGGTCGTTTTGTACGACCCACATTAAATAATAATTTTTTAGTGTTAGGATTCCAAATTACATAAACAACTCTACGCATGTGTTGTAGCAATGGTTATTAACTATTATATTGGTGGGGTGCACTTTTGCTAGAAGTGTATATAAATAAAACAAAAGGTAAGTGAGAGATGTAAACAAAATGATTTTAAATATTTCCATTTTTTATGAATTTATTTAATTTATTTCAGAGGGTAAATAACCTCATCCTAAGTAAACTACTAAACTTTAAAATATAAAAAATTATAATGATTTTATTTTATTATTACATTTATAACGAGATTATTTATCCTATGGCATAATTTAAACAAATTTATTTTTTATTCTTACAAAATCTCTTTATTATTAAATGAAAAAATTAAATATACTATATGTTTTCAAGATAACAAAGAAACACACTTTTCATTTAATATTTGTTTTATAAAATACTAAAAATATATTAAATTAGTATATCAGAAAATATAACAAAACTCTTATATCGTATATAATGATGATATGATGTGTAGTGGAAAAATTAAGAGGACTCGCAGGTTAAGCATTATATTAATTTATAAACAATTAGTGAATGATTATGCAATCCAAAATTTTAATGATTAATTCTATCCTAATTTATTAATCTTACAGCCATTAATGTTATTTTTATTAGTTAATAGCTCAACCGTCAACGTCAACACACTTAAAAAAATAATGACACAGAATAATAATGTATTAGTTTGTTGTCTTCAAAAATTTTGTTTTTGTCTATGGTCGGAAATCACGGATTATCCTTAAATAAAAAAATTTTAGACTAATTTCTACTTTGTGATTCGTAGTTATTGTTTACACATGACAAATTTTGAATAAAGAACATTTTTATAAATGAATTGACCACTTACTCATGAATGTAACGGAACCTTACGCCCCGGTATGAATCGACACATCGTGATTAAATTTCTTTTTATATTTTTTTAAGCTGTTTATTTTTTATTTTTAGCTGGAGTTGAAACTTAGGAGATTTTTATCATAACTATTATGAAACTAAGAGACACGCAGATATTTAATGCTTACAATTTTTTAAAATTAGCAATTATCCATATCATATCATATCAGTATGGAATACTCATATGTCATAATAAGTTTTATAAATTATACTTTAATATTTCAGAACGAGTATCATATAGATTATATAGTATCATATTTTCTAAACTCAATTAATATTAAATGATGTGATTCTAGAGTCATAAGATCATATATGTATACCCTCTTTACTTGCTCTATTTATGTTTAGAATAATTTATTTTGTACTCTGTATTTTAGCCATAGGTCTAGAAAGCCTATTATACTTTAAAATGAAGTCTTTTGTATTTTTGTTTAGGCTTGTATTAGGCCATATTTTAAGATATATATTCAATCCAAATCTTCATTTCCTTTATTTTTCTTGTTTTGATGGCTTATTATAGACCTTTTGGGGCTTGAGCTAACTTGCCTATATTAGAGACCTTTTGGGACTTGAGTTAGCTTGCCTATATATAGGCCAAGTTCTTTTGTAAATTATTTGGGACTGACGACTGTCCCCACAAACTAACACATAACTTTTCAATGTGTTTTGTCCTCACTCACACACTTTTTGAGAACTTTCCAGAAGGTCACTCATCTCATAATTGCTCCAAGTTAAGCACACTTAACTTTAGAATTCTTAGGTGATAGGCCACCGAAAAGTAAATGTATTTTGTTGGTATAGGTAGTCTTAATTAATTCTTTTAAGCTATACAGTCTCTAGATTCCTCTCATTCTGATGTAAGTTCGATTCATTCATGTGCCCCTTATTGCCAAAAGCCGGAGTCGCTCCTTGTTTGTGTCAACATTACACCGGTGATCACTCTCCGCCCTCGCCTAATGCCTAGATCTCACATAAATTTTCAAATTTAAATTCATTTGATACATTTTTTAGCATTGTCTCCTTTTGAGTGAGTGAGTGAGTTTTCTCTGAATTTTTTAATATAAAATTTTAAAATCACACCTTATCATAATTTATTCTATGTAGTAAATGCATTTATACTTATCTCCAATATTTTGGACTGATGCGCTGCCTTGTACATCCATTTTCCTTAATTTCCATTTGCTATTTCTTCTCTTTTTGGTGCCGTATCTTGGAAACTCCCTACATATTTGCTTAAAACTATGGCTAATACTTCTCTTGGAAGATCATTATATTCTTGAAGAAAGTTTCGAGAATCATTTATTATATCCTTGTTTTCCATTTGCTATTTCTTCTCTTTTTATTATGTTTAAAGCTAAGTTTGCTAAATTATTTATTATATCCAACTATTACTGTTTGATCAATTATTATTATTTTTAGAATTTAAAGGTATGTTGTTTTTTTTTCTATTTATTATGTTATATTATTTTTTAAAAGACCATTTATTATTATTTTTTTAATTTATAAATTGAGGTGCATCCAATGACGTTATTAATAACCTTTAAGGCAATTGCATTATACCTAGCATAGCTAAACTATATATAAAATATAAATATCAGCTTAAAAAAGTAACGATGGTTTAAAAAAGTAGTTTAACTTTGACTAATGTGTATTATAAAAAAATAATAAATTTAAATAATAATTTATTAAATTTTAAAATAGTCATCTTTACTGATAGTCATGCATGAACAAATTATAAGTATGTCAATTAAAATTTGTTCGATTCTCACAGTTTTTTTATATTTTTTTTGAAAAAAAATTTACCAAACAATAATTGTCATGCGACAAAAAATTAATAGTCATAAATCAATTGTTTCTTAACTATTTTTTTTTAAATCATCATTCTTATCTATTCAATTCAATTTCTAATATTTATACTTCACCAATACTTACTACAAGTAATATATTAGATAATACATTTATAATATTTAGTAAAATAATATATATAAAGATATTAGATAACTAGGTAGTTAGTGATAAAAAATATTTTTTCATCAAATTTTTTATAATTTAAAAGATAAAATTTATAATTTTGACTTAAGTAATTTTTTTGTTTTAAATAAATTTTTTTATCAAATTCTTTTAAGTAAAATTTTTTACTTGAATAAATCTAAACTACAAATTATAATTTTTGTCAAAACTGCAAAAAATTTAAATTCTAATAAGTATGTTATTATTAAAATAATTTTAATGACATAAGATAGAGTAATTTTTTAATGACATTAATACTTTTTATAATCAATAAATAATTTGAAATAATTTTAAAATATTAAAAAATAAAAATAAAAAAACTAATATATTAAATTAATCTAAATTTTTTAACCAATAACATATTATATAATAAAAAAAATTTCAAGATAAATAGCACTAAGACAGCTGTCATCTATGTCTATGTTTTTTTTGTCAAGATGTCTTGTCCTCTTCGTTTGTTTGTTATATACATGCCACGCGTTTATTGGGTGAAGAAGCTGTGTTGTCTTTGCAGTCCCATCTGGTGGGTGCGGTTTAATGTGAACATGATCTGCACTCCATTTCATAGCAAGAAAAGTCTTCCATGCATTTTGGAACGTAGCAAATCATCCACACCAACTCCCCCGAAACTTGGGTCCTTGTTAATTGTTATATATAGTGTGCCAATTCATCATCAGCATATCATACCAGCATTTACCAGAGAAAGAGTGAGGACTGAAGACTTGAACATCATTCTTTCTTTCACACTGAAGCCGCAGGTGCAAGTCATAATGGTAAAATCCAGGTATATCATCCCTTTTGATATATATATATGGATAATGGCAGAGAATTGTGTAGCATTTGGTAGAAAAAACAGCAAAGGTGGGAAAACTCTCATTTAGTTCCAAATTCCATTACCTTTAATATGTAAAGGGCGCTCGTAATTCTATCTGACGTGTGAATATGTTGTCTCTGCTGGGCCGGACCGGAAGCTTCATTATTCCAAATATTCAATTTTTTCCTCCATTGCCAATAATTCGTTCATTCACTAATCTCAATTGTAATTTTGAACGGAGCGTCATGAAAAATATTTAGCCTTTAGACATTAAAATAATAATGAATTTTTATTTTACGAAAATTTTTTAGATTGATATAATTAAGAAAAATTTAAAGTGAATATTGCACATTTCTCTTATTTGAATTACACCCAAAAAAAAAAAAAAACACACCACGTATATATAGCATTATTTTTCTCTTATTTAATTTTTATTTAATAATAAATATATTATTCTTTTACGAGTTTACCTCTTTAATTAAAATGTTTTTCCTTCTTTTTTAACAAACTTATTTGATTTTTGACCTTATTAAGTCATTATTTTGGTCTAAATTAAAAGTTACATTGAAAGTCATGTAAAAATAAATATTTTAAAAATAAAATTCATACAAATTAATAGAAAAACAAAAAAAATTAATTTAAACTATTTGGTTCAATTGTGATATTATTATGTTTGGTTTAGATAAATTTTTTGCTTAAAAGTTGAACCAAATAGAAGTGTAAGTTCTTAGTTATATATTGACTTATTTTATCTTATTTTTCAGTTTAAATTTTATCTTTCATGGTCTAAATTAGAAGTAAATAGAATAACATGATATATTTAATTTATTATTTTGATGTGCATTAATTATAAAATGAGTAAGATTTACTAAACCATAAATATCCTTAATAGCACTCAACCTTCATCTTCTTAAATCTCTCCTATTTCCTTAAATTCTCCTATGTTGCACCCATCTTGGAGATGAGTCATCTTGGAGATGAGTTTCTTCCCACTAAATGACTTAGCCGTGAAGGCTCGTGTATTTATGTATCTTTTGCTTTCTTTTTTGGTGTGTACAGTCAAGAAAGGGAAATTAGGCTCGTGAATTAATAAGTTTAATTTACAGAGATTTAGAGAAATTAATAATAATAATTTGAGTGTTTTACGTAAATTTATTGTGAATTTTTCTCATTATTTAATTTTTGTTAGGTCTTGTAAATAAACTTATTTTAATTTCATTTTATTTTTAGGTCTTGCCTTCAATTTAATTACAACTTTTTTATTTGTGTTCTAGTTCTATACTAGACAAAGGTAGCATTAACAAACATATTTGAAACCCGGCAACAACTAAATCATTGAACAATGGTGGAGACGTCAGAAGCCATCGTGAATACAAGACTTGCCCAGCTAAAAGATGCACAACAAAGCTTTGATAAAGAAAATAAATTTCAAAGTCCCAGGATCCAAAGGGCACCTATGTTTTTGCGACAAAATGACAAGTGTGCTAAATATTTCTCCCCAAAGATGATCTCATTCGGTCCCATCCATCACGGCAGTCCAAGCCTTAAGCAAGGAGAGCGTTACAAGCTTCTATGGACATCAAAATTTGTTGCCGAATATAGTGAAAAAACGAATCAAGATAAAGACGTAGCAGCTAAACTTTTGCTGAAAAGGATAGAAGATAATATGGAAGAGTTGAAGACGTTGTTCACTGAGGATGCAATCAAAGATTACAAGGACAAGGACAGTGACCTGGCTTGGATTTTGTTTGTTGATGGATGTTCTTTGCTCCATTTCCTGGAAAATATTGACGAACACCGTCCGGAATCACTAAACCTTAAGTTTGACCAACTAATGTATATGTGGAGAGACACGGCGTTGTTGGAGAACCAACTTCCAAGAAGATTGCTTGAGATGCTAAGCAATAAGGACTTGGAATATTTAATGAGCAATTGCAATGACATGGGTGAAACCAAACAACGTGGAATGGTAACGATCTCAATTCAAAATCGTAAACCAATTCATTTACTCGATTCTCGTCGCTCAGTGTTCCTTTCAACCCTTAAGGAGTTTCCCACGGACAAATACAATGAGATGGAGAAGGAGATAGATACAATCCTAAACCAACAAAAAAATGATGCTGATGAATGCAATATTCAAATTGATACCTTTTCAGGTTGGCATACTTATAAGAACATACGAGATCTTAAAACAGCAGGGATTCGAGTGATGCCAATGGCAGATGAGTCAGACAATTATGCATGGAGATGGAATAACGTGTCTTTCACCTCTAAGAGGTTTAGCGGCGAATTGAGGCTCCCAGTGTTTGTGTTCAACGATGTCACGCCGTATGTGTTTTGGAACTTCATAGTTTACGAGTTATGTCCAGATGTTGGTTACAACTATGAATGTTGCTCATTCTTTTCCTTCATGGATTCATTGATTGACACTGCAGAGGATGTGAAGGAGCTTAGATTAGCAGGTGTGTTTCAAAACTTGCTTGGAACCGACGAAGACTTGGCCAAGCTATTTAATGAATTGGGAGATGATTTGGCAACTAAAATGTACTGCGACAAATTCTACACACATGCAGTGGCCTACAGCAAGAAATATATTTTGGTGAAGGAGCAAATTGAAAAGCATTACAGCAATAAATGGAAGACATGGTTGGCTGAATTTTACAATACTCATTTCAATACCCCTTGGGCCATGATTGCCTTTTTGGCTGCATTACTGGCATTACTTCTCACTTTTATCCAAACCTGGTTCGCCATATATCCCAAAAATTGAAAATATTGGAGTACTGTTTGCGTGTCTGTATATGTATGTATGAGTGTGTGTTTAATGTATAATAAATAAGGTCGCTCTATGACCGACACAGAATAATAATTTTTAGGGTTGGGATCCAAATTGCATAAACAACGTTCCTGCTTGGGATAACTTACGTGTCATTTTTCTATCATATGAAAATTTCCTGTTTAGATGTTCATGCGTGCAGTACTTTGCACGAGTATATTATTTGTAACTATAATTTGCTATGAGGTAAAGCTAATGAGTTTCTTGTTTTAATGATCAATTCTATCCTAATTTATCATTAATTGTGTAGCTATATTAGTGTTCTTTTTATTACCAATTTAATTTACCAAGACTTGATAGATAATAACGTAGAGCCTATGCAATAATTTGCTATGTCTTAAACTAGTTATGATTAACTTTCCTATTTTTCCAAACTGTTTAAATTTCATTTCCCATTAATCCTAAAACACAGGTGAATTATTCACAACTAATATGAAATTACTTGACAGAAAGATAACGCTTACTATTTATAAGCCCTGAATTTGGTTTTCGTTTTGGTTGTGTTTTGAATTTTGTTTTTCTAAGTCTTTTGACATGTGGGGTGGTGACAAGAGTAACCACATGAGACCTTATAGTTAATAGTTCTTACTCCCTAAATATCCCCCACTGATTGTACCCAGTAGCAACTTAACTTTCATATTTTTGTTTACAATAAAGTTTCATGTTTTTAAATGTCATGTACATTAAGTCTGTGGAGTGCTGTAATTATTCAGAAAAAGTGCACTTATGTCCTGTCAGATAATGTCTTAAAATAGAGGTACATACAGTAAAAATGTTAACTTTAAATATTAGTTTTAACGATGATATGTAAGTAGTTCGTTATTAATTGAATAAATTTAAGTAATAATAACAACAATAATAATAAATGAAAATCAAATTTGATTAGATAATGAATTAAAAGGAAATAAATAGTAATTTAACGTAAAAGCTTATAAAATATGTGTTGCAAAATTAAAAAAAAATAAATCAAATTTAATGTAGTTGATTTTATGGCCACTAATCGGTGCCTTGTGTTGTGAGTCATCTGTATTTTGACTCAGGAAACATCCTTACTAACTACGAAGCATTGGATTAGCCACTTAGCTGAAGAACGGACTTTAGCTTTCGAGGTCAATTAAACATTCTTAAATGCTCAAATTGCATAATAATTCCATCCGCCATTGCTAACTTAACGGAAACTTAATAGACATTTGAACGTCTAGGGCACAATTTCAAGGTATAGCACATGCAAGTTGCATGGATACGACCATGAATTCATATTCATTTTGCAGCAAACCAAATTATTTAGTCGCATAACTTAAGTATTTTCCATGAATTGATCTTATAGTTGAGTGATAAGTATTAGAATATTTGGTATCCATGTATATCCAATAATTAAGAACCAAAACTACACGGCATCTAAGAATGAGTACGGCGACAATTACTCATTCATGCATAATCCATCGGGGTCATATGGTATATATAAATATGAGATTTAGTCCATTTGTTTGTTGCATAACTAGAAACTCCATTTGGCTTATTGACGCTACAGAAGATATATAGTCAAGAGATGGAGGATGAATCGTATGCAATGAAAGGAGGAGATGGTCCTCACAGCTATGCTCTAAACTCTACCTTTCAGGTATAATGAATGTCTCTATTGGCTAGTATACTATAACACCTTGATTCCCGTTCATTATTAATTTATCTAGAAATACGTTTGAGAACGAGATTTGAAAAAAAAAAAAAAAATTAACTTGTGTGCTTAAATTCATATTAAGAAATTAATAATAAATAATATTTTATTAAAAATTGTAATATTAATAATTTTGACGCATTAAATTTTATAATATTTTATAATTTCTAGTATAAACTTATTATAAATAAATTCTTATTATATGTGATTATATACATGTTAATAAAATCATTAAAAAAATAGATAAAAGTATTTTTTAATAAATATATTTTAATTTAGTATTTTTAAAATTTTACAAATAAAATGATAAAATTAGTATACATTTAATGTCCTGCTCTTTTCTTTTCTTTTTATAAATATCGTATATTTTTAATTTTAAAAAAGTATTGCCTTGCACTTTCTTTTTTGGCTATGCATAAGTTGTATATATAGTTTGACAACGGCGCATTATTTACAGAGAAATACAATTGAAGCAAGTAAAAAGTTGATCCAAGAGGCAATAGCTGAAAATTTTAATCCCAGAGGCTATGCAGAACCTTCAAGGCCAATTTCTATTCGTGTGGCAGACTTGGGCTGTTCTACAGGACCAAATACATTTCTTGCAATGCAAACTATAGTAGATGCAATAGAGCTCCAATTCCAATCAAAGGGTGTAGCCGTTCAAAACCCAGAATTCCAAGTTTTCTTAAATGACCAAGTCTCAAATGACTTCAACACACTCTTCAAAAATCTTCCTCCAAACAGAAAGTATTTTGCAGCTGGTGTGCCAGGCTCTTTCCGTGGACGCTTGTTTCCAAGGGAAACGCTTCATTTGGTCCATTCTTCTTCAGCTCTAAATTGGTTATCTAAGGTGCCAGCAGATATTACAGACATAGCTTCTAGTGCTTGGAATAAGGGGAGGATTCATCATACAAATGCTCCCAAGGAAGTTGCTCATGCCTATGAAACCCAGTATAAAATGGACTTGGAAAATTTCCTCCATGCCAGAGCACAAGAACTTGTGGACAATGGACTAATGCTACTTGAAATTCCTGTAGCATCTGACGTAGTTCTTGATTCAGATGCAGACCCTGGTAAAGTTTTTGAACTTATTGGATCTTGCCTGGTGGACATGATCAAAGGGGTAAGAAACCATTTGCAGTATCTTAGCTAAAAAAGCCCTGAATGAAATCTGTTAATGAATAAATTTACTTTTTTTCTAAAGAATTTAGGCTCACTAAAACGAGGGATGCACTTTAATGTAGGGACTGGTTGGTGAAGAAGAAGTGGATTCTTTCAATTTCCCTTTGTTTTACGCACCACTTAGGCTTGTGAAGGAAACTCTTGAAAGAAATGGCTGTTTCAGTATTGAGCGGATGGAAGTGTTGCATTTGAAAAGCATTTTCACAACCCCCAGTGTCCAAATATATATTTCGTTGTACAGAGCTATGCTTGAAGGGTTGATTGAGAAGCACTTCGGTGAAGGAATCGTTGACGAGCTTTTTAACCGCCTCGCCGAGAAAGTTAAGGAATTTCCAGATATCATGAATACAGAGAAGCTAAAACTAGCTGTGCTGTTTGTTCTTCTCAAGAGCAAGCCAAAAAGCAATGATAGCTACTAGTTTGGCCGCCAACATTTTAATGCACAAATCGGTGATTTTAATAAATTGAATGCAATATGTTGTTCCTTTCTAATGGGAATGAAATAATTTACTTCATATGTCTAACGTATAATAAACAACTTGTTGGAGTTACCTGATTAGATACCCAAAGTTATCTAAATCACAGCATATTTGTGAAGTATGTGATCGATCAAGTATAATGATAAGCGTTGCTATGAAAATTGGTCAGCAACTTCTAAAATTTATTAATCATTGTATGACCCTCAAATTGAACAAAAGTAAAATAAAAATTGTGACTCGAATTCTCTGCAATAACCGTGTCTTGTAGCATTTTTACACTTTTGCTTAAACGACAAATTTTCGCGATAAAATTCCGGTCCAAAATAGTGTCTTTTCTGGCCGCATACACTTACATCTAGTATGGTGGACATTTGGCATTAGTGTGGCAATATTCCTAGTCTGTTTATTTTATATACTCATTACTCGTTAGCTTTTATGGTCAAAATAGGTAGAGGACGTTTATGCAAATTGGAGTATGATAGGTAGTGGTATTTGATCATTAGCTTGTGTCCTTGCGGTAGAAACTTGCTGGAGTGCAGCAGTGTGTGTCGATGAGTATTTGCTGGTAGGTGTTGTTGAAGGATTAGTCGTTCAAGAAACCGGAAAAAGAATTAAGAAAATGGAAGCTTAATTTTGGATCTTTTTATTTTCAGCCATTGATTTCTCTTATAAAAAATGAAGCGATGATAATAAATCAAAATATTTTTTCTTGTGACATCTACACTGGAGAAGGGATCCGCACCAACCATTATCACAGATATCCCTACTTTCGGTTTCTTTGTCAAGGCAGATAGCGTTCCTGGTCGGTTAGCACACAGCACAGTTTACTTTGCCCCATGTAATCCTCATTTTCTTGTTCTATCCAAGTAATTTCTTTCGTCCAGTACCAGAATCCGAAAATGAGTTTCACACGACTCATCCAGTGGGAAAATTTAATTCTGAAAATTAATATCATACTACCGATGACACACACACACACACTGGTAATGCTTTATATTTCGTCTTAATGACAGTTTTATAGATGGGACAATCCCACTAGTAAAGTGTAAGTCAAACAAACTATACATATGACATTGTTGTATAAGCTAAACTATTCACAATCCAATGATGATGCAAACCAACTCAAAAAGATAATTAAGATTTTCACGCTATGCAAAGGCTTTTAAGATTTAGGACTAATCTCATTTATTTGAGAGAGAATTAACATCAGAAAGAATACTAAATTTATCCTGCAGGATGTTTGGATGAAAACACTATTGCTGCTTATAGTAGCCACTTTGGTGAGGCGGAGGATATGGTGATGGAATGGTATAAGGTGGTCGAGGAACAGAACCAGGTTGCTGTGCTTGTGCATTGTAGTATGGACCACGCCATCCAGGATATGCTGGTTGGCCATACTCATGGTTTGGCGGTGGCTGCTGATGGACCTGAGGGGGTGGGTATGGGGCAGCTGTTGATGGTGGAATGTGGTATGGAGGTGGAGGCTGATGGTGCCCAGGACCATATGGGGCAGGTGGGTGTACATAGGGAGGAACTGGTGGTTGCTCAGCTGGCTGGTAATAAGGTGTTTGGGGACGAGGATCTGTTTGTGAAGTGGATCTTTGATTTTGGTTTCCCACTGAAGGATAGTTGCTGTTAAAAGCACCTGCGTTTTTGTTATCCTGGAAACTCAGACCAGCCACTTGTCTTTGAACATCTTCAATCATTTCCCTGCACTGGATATTCCTTGTCATGACAAAGTCATTGCTCTGCTGCTTTACATTCGTGATTGCATCCTATTAAACAAAGAAATTGTGTTATTGCATAACAAATATTTATTTTAAACAGTATTGTGCAACCGAAATCAAATAATACTGAGAACGATTTAAATTAACAAAGATGATAACATGTTTAGCTTTGGGAAAAGAGCAATTAATAAATCGGTTAAGTTCATGCAGAATAGAATTCAAACCAGACATAGTTGATAAGTTCATACCTGTAGAGTAACATAGAATTTTAACCCTTCATTAATGTTGTCCTTTATTTCTCGAAATTTTGCTATGGCAGCTTCAATCTGCTTGTAGGCTTTTTCCCGTGAAGCTGGAGTAATTACAAGAAACCATCAAAAGATTAACTGTGTTACAGGAAGGGTGTAATTAAAAAAAAAATGGAGCATTCTGTACGAAATGAATAGACCATCTGAAAATCAAAAATTGAAATTTTATGTCCATTCATATAACAACTGAGGAAATTCTTTTGCTAGTTAATCATGAAATTTTATGTACATTATTAAATATAATCTGAAAAGTGACCAGCCTTGTCAACATGATGACAAACAGATAATGTATAAAAACAATAGATTCAATCTAGAAGACAACCAAACGGGACCTACCTTTGTAATCTTCAAGATTGAAGATAACAGAGAACTCATCATTTTGAGCCTGTGAACAATGGCAAACAATTATCAGAATCCCGACATTCAAATTTCTCGTTTTCTCTAACATCTATTAGATGCAATCACCTAGAAAGGAAATCTTCTACCATCAACACTCAACCGAGGGATGTCCCTCATACCCTTGCTTCTACAGTGAAAAGGCATAATGGCATATAATCTGTCACTTTTGCCTTCAGAGGCAAGAGTCCACTCTCAAGAAGCATGAAATATATAAAAAGTAGTGTGTATTTGCTGCTAAAATAGCTACTTAGGCATTAATTAAAGGTGGTAATCAACAACCTAAAGAGTATAGTCCCATGTGAATAGCCACTGGGAAAACATAGTCCCAAAATGAAAAAAAAGGTTGGGAACATTTCTTTTCTTATATGCATTAGTTCTACTTCAATAGGTGCACAGAGATAAGTACCTGGATCTGCAGCAATAATTGCTCTTGAGCCTCAATATTTTGAGCTATTTCTTCACAAATATGGTCATATTTTGCTATTTCCTTCTTGAAAAGATCATCATAAGAACCAGTGGATGTCATCAACTTTGGTAATATATCATCCTGAAGATATTTATACAAATATAAGCCAAAAATAATATTTGTGTGTAATAGTTTCATGAATGGAAAACTGCATAAGAAGCAAACAAACTCCCACCAATTCTTTGCATCCACAACATTAGAAACCTAAATGAAGAAAACAAAATCCAAACTACCAATTCATCTACCACAAGTTAACAGAAAAGCAAATTTCAACAGAAAAGTGCCATATACTTTTTGTTTATCACTCTTAATTACAGATTTACAGCTCAGCACTTTTTTTACATCACTTGGAGGGGAATCACACTTCATTCATTAAATATAAAAACTCCATATTTGAATTACCTAGTATAAGAAGAAAGGAGTTAATGAATGATGAATCCAGTAGGCAAGAATAAAAGTGAAAATACTCTCTTTACACTTGCCAGCTATGATGCACAAAAACATGATAAAACTGGTGGTGTATTTGATTATCAGTTTCATATGCATATCTGAAATTCATATGTGGCAGAGTGGGGAAGGTGCTGGGCGAGAGCATGAGAGGGAAGACAACAAGGACATGTGGAAGGAAGGAAAGGCAGAGAAGAGAGAATACAAGGGACTTAAGTTGGAGTGATACAAGTGGATGAATTTTATATTTCTTATACATATAAATTTTATTTAACCAAATGCATGCCCACATCTTTTTTTTTTAATAGCATATTTCTGTATCAAATACTCATCATACATAGCTTGGGAGGCATGAGCTTAAAATCATAAATGTATCCAATTCTCTAACAGGCACAGAACAATTATATGCTTTACTTAATATATTTTCCTTCTACACTCATTGCTTGAATATATGTTACTACCATTAAATACCATATTGCTCCCCAATATCATTAAAAAAACACACCACCCATAAAATAATGCCTCTTCTCAGACAGAACTAAACTCCAAACAAATGTAGGGTTTAATAACAGGTCGTCATGCTGTCCATATACCTTAACAATCAGAAAAAAAAAATCCCACTCCTTTTTTGTTTAAATTTTAACATTCTTTGCATCTTTACTCCGTGCATACAAGGTTATATACTTCAAATGATCACCAATGAATAAAATACATACACAAAAGCAAAAGGCACATGAAGTTATAAAATTTTAAATATGGCTTGCAATGATGAAAATAACAAGTCACCCATCAATAATAATAACTATAATCAGCCTTGCGTAACACAGGATTAGGATATAATAGGATTGGAGCAACACATGAAGTTGCAACAAAAATATAAACGTGTACTAGACTAAAATCCCCAAAGGATCTATGTTGGTTTCTCTAACATCATGGATGTGTGTGGTTGCATTTGTGTAATCAAAATTTCAGTGGATAGAATAGGTTGAATTTAGCTAGTGAGTGATTCAACTTTAGAGAGAAAAGTAAGGAATCTCACTCAACCATTGATGAGAAAATCAAGCGCATGGATTTTAACAAGTATCTATGATTTGTTGTGCATGTGCATGTAATATCAACCATTGATTTTCTCATCAAAGGTTGAGGTTCGTTGCTTTTCACTCTAAATTGAGTGACTTTTGGGTGTAGCAAGTGTAATTACTTATTACCCCAAGAACATACTGGACAAAAAGACATTTATTGCTGAATTCAGTAAGAGAGAAAAGCATGCATATTATGTGAGGCATTGAATGTGTAATATTACTTCAGTATCATTGAATGTCACCAGAAAATTAACATGTAGAACATAAATGAGGCATCTAATTTGCAGGAAAGGCAAAAACGTATTTCATGTCTTCAGATAAAAAGACAGAAATGCTTCTACAGGAAGAACTGAACAACCTAATTATGTGATACCTTTCTTTTCATCTCTTTAAGCATATCTTCAAGACCAGCCCTTTGAGCTCCTAGAGTTTCAAGTTGCCTCTGCATTAGTTAGCACCAAAATTTAAAAAGGATCATAAACACAGCCAATGAAATATTGTAGCCAATTTTGACATTACATACTATCTCAAACAATTAAAATATTTACTCCAAAATTCTAGATGTCCATTAAAATGTGTTCTCCTATTACTAGCTCTAATCAATAGTCAGTCAATTTCATATCTCCAAATTTGTCCTGGAATTTATAAATTTTGATAAGCTCTCCTAATTAAGAGTATATGGCTAAGAAGAAACTGATAGGAACTGAGTGTATTTAGGGAATTAACACAGAACCCTCAGGGAATACCCTGATAGTACAAACAGAGAATGAAATAACAGAAACAATACAAAATGGAACCTTTCCTATGGCAGCAGCCACACCCAATGACCTCCCAGATAAATCCTACCTTCTCTCCTCTGATCAAACTACCTTATATCCCTCCCTCGGCCCCCTCCTCCACGTCATTCAATTTGTTATTCTGTTAGAATCTTCCCTACCAGCCTCTTTGCCCATAATTCCCTTTTTACCCCTCCTTCTCTGGTATGTTTTTAGTAGAGGCCCAATTGGCCTAGACCGAACAGAAACCATTCAGTGCTCAGTTCATTTGTAAATTTTATAATCACTATATAGTGAGCAAATATGAAAGTTAGCTAGTTTGGATCATTACAAATGCTATAAGTTCAAAAAATATAAAATAAAAAACCTGCCAATATATTACAATCTATCATAAAGTCCCAATAAAAATTCAAAGAGGGATTTATGAATTGCAAACTCAAATATTTAATTTACAGCCTGCACCAAATATGTCTTTTGCACAATATATCGTGGAAATACCTACTAATATCTGTCAATGCAAAAAATATGTAATTCCATGCATAATATGTTTCACATGCTTGTGCTGATATTATGATGATTGCTAACCACAAGAACACACACAAAACACCTTAATTGGATCGTCACCACACTACTTTTGAAACATAATACTTCGAAATATACCAAAAACGAATTATGCTTCCCCAGATCTATATTTGGATATGAATTGTTGTCAATAACACACTGTAGCAGGACCCCATTGCAGAGCGCCTCCTGGGCACTATGGAATTCAAATAGCAATGTGGTTTTGTATAGAAGCCATTGCAGCTTCCACAGCAGGTGAAATCACAGCATTTTGCAGCTGGAGTGGCACAAGTATAATTGTAAGCAAAAACCCTAATTTGGCCTAGCAACAAAGCAGTCCAAGTCTTTTTAGGGGGTAATTTATTGATTTCCCCCCTTTTCATTGAATCAGAGGCTTCAAATGAAATCGCAATTTTCCCATATTCACATGCATGCAATCTCTCGTGAACACCCGCCCTTCTTTGACAAACAGTATTAACAATTTCCAGCCATGCCTGACCCCTACAGCAGTGCAGCCATGTACTGTACATTTTGTTCTGTATAGTCCACCATCCTTGACCTCTACAGGCTACTTTCCAGTCATCCCTGCTCTCTTTCTCTTTTTTTTTTATTTTTTTCATTTTGTTCTCTATTCTCTACCCCTATGATTTTATACTACTAATAACAAATATCTTTAATTTTGAATAAGATTTTACATCATATTTATATGTATAGTATATAAATAAATTATTTAACTTGTATCTAAAATTTCACTGTAACAGCCATCTTGCTATCCTGCTATAACAATTTCATGATCAACCGCTATGATTGATAACTATGATTATGACAATAAACAACAGCTATATAAACTATGGAATGGGATCTATGAAGCACAGACACATTTCTTGTTTGAAGTGTCACAGTGTTGGACATTTGTTTGATACATGTCAAACACTCCTCAGTGTTTAATTAAAAAATTATTTGTTAGCTCGGACACAAGAGCCAATACTTTCCATATGAAAAAATAAGTTTTTCATTTCTACTTTTGAAAAACTTAGCTTAAAAATATAATATAAAAATTAAAAAATGGTGCTTTTTTTTTTTTGTAAGGTTCATTATTATACAAAAATATAAAACTTAGTATTTTTGTTCGAGCAGGCAAATATGATATAATTTTATCTTGTTTTGAGATTTTTTTGTAAAGAGACCAAGTGCTTAAATGGTAAAATAATGTCCCTATTTTTTAAAATAAATTATTTTATATATATAACTGGTGTTCTATATTTTAGACGTTAGCCATGTTGGAATCCACTTCATAGGTATGGACTAAAGAAATGGTTATAGATTGTACTCCTTTAAATTCAAAACATAACAATAACAACATTAAGAACAACATACCAAGCTCTGCTTGAGAGACCCCACAATAGCATCTTCACTTTGATCAAAAGACATAATTGGCCTTGCCAAGCTTGGAAGTGCAGATTCAATCTGATAAAAGACAAAGAAGACTCAATAACTTGGTGATGTTTTCTTTCTGATCACATTGAGAAACAAATAAGTCATAACAAATAGCACAACAATTTACCGGACGGGCATCAAGGATCGACATGAGGGCTGAATGTTCTCTAACTGAGCGCTCAATCCTACCATCACTTTCAGCAGCTTGCTTCAAGTTACCCGCAAACCTGTTTAGCCTATCATGCAAATTCTTGGTCAACGTGGTTGACTGAGGCCTGGTCCATTTTGTGCCAAATTGGCTTCTAAATTGTGCATCTTCTCTTGATTCCTTATGCAGCAACTCCTCAGTCTGGACCAGCAATTCTTCATTCACCCTCCTTAGGTCTTTAAGTTGCTGCAACTCTGCTTCCAAACCAGTAGGTCCCCCACAGATTTGCACAGCCTCTACATCTTCTTTGAGATTTGCTGGTAGTGTGAAATTTCCTTCCAGAGCAAGAATAGAATCTGGCAGTTCCATTTCCTTGAGCTTAACTCGGGTTAGCTCGCTAGCTTGCTGTAACTTTTCAGCCTGTGTTCTTATAACATTGTCTACCATTTCAGTGTACCTGGAGAGGGCCTTTGCACTACTGTCAGGAACAATACTCGCAAACATCTTCTCCTTGCTTGCATCCAGCACCTCATTCATCACCATAGACTTCACCATAGAAAATGCTGGAAGAGGCGGCAAGGAACTTGGAGAAGGAACTCTCATGAGGTAAACTCTATCATTCTCCTTGACAGCCCTTTCCAGGTTCCGGTTAATATTGGCCTCCAACTTGCCAATCGCATCTAAAATTTGCGCTGCAGCACCCTTCGAGTTTTTCTTCGCCTCACTCAGCACATTAACAGCACTCCTCAGTCTTGCAATTTCCTCCGCTATTTCCTCTTTTTCATGTAGCTCCAATCCATACCTATAACAAGCTTCTGCATAGAACAGTGCCGCCTTCAACTGCACATGAACTACCCATGACTTATCAAAATGCTGGCTCAAAGGCGCAACATTCAGCGCAGCTGAAGCTTCCTCATAAAATATCCCAACCTACAGCATCTCAATTGCAACAAACGCAAGTCAAAATAAGAAAAACAGATCAGTGATCAAAGTTGCCAAACAATTTGCACAAAATAATGCGTCATATTCACAATTCATAATGAAAATTAATAAACAAATTAGCACCGGACCTGCCTAGAGATCTTGGCACAGACACCAGGAGTGCTCCCTTTGGCAATGGTGTTCTCAAAGACGCACTCCTGAGCCTGAGCGAGCATCAGCTTCTCGAGCATTCCGGCACATTCGAAGGACAAATCGACGGTGGCGGAATTCCCGATGGAGGCCTTCATGGAGGCAGTATCACGGAGGAAGGCGAAGGAGCCAGCGGCAGCGATGAAGGCGTGCGAGGCCTGGCGGCGGCCGTCGACAGTGTTACGATCGTAGGAAAGGCCTATCTGGCTGTAAACGGCGCCCAAATTGAAGATAACAGAGGCCTTCTCGAGGTGGATGTTCTGCTGAGAGGCCTTTTGTTTAGGCTTGAAGGCATCGAACCAGACGAAGGTGAGGGTGTTGACATGATCGGGATCGGAGGAGATAGGGAAGCGAGTTTCGACGAGGCATAGGGATTTGAAGTAGGTTTGGAGAAGGTCGCGGCGCGAAGGGAGCGATGGATCGGAGTGGCGTTCGAGGTCGGTGCGGAGTTGCTTGAGGGTTTGGAGATCGTCTTCGAGGTTCTGTGCCTCACGCTCGGAGTAGTTGAAGGCCACGTAGTTGCGGAGAGGGCGATAAAGATCTATGGAGTTAGTCTTCTTCTCGAAGATTGCGAGCATGATGTTCGTGGTGGCCGCGGCGGAGGACGACGGCGACGCGGCCATGGCTACAGAAGATTCTGGAAACTTAATTACACAATGGATAATCAGACTCCTCCTTCTATTTGCTTTGCTTAAACTACCTGAGGAATGTGTCAATGCTAATGTGAATCGTTGCCTTCGGTTTGCATACAGACACAGGATGGGTGGACGGATGAGTGTCGCGGAGTCTGAGACCAATCAAATACGATGCCCCATCAAAGGGTTTTGAGTCTCCTCCATATACAGTAAAATAAAATATGAAATGGCGTTCCTTTCAAAGTTAACTGAATGAGGTTTGAATGTATCTTAACATTTAAGAGACGAATTGGTTTAGATTTTTATATTCATTTAATACTTTTTAAAATTATATAAAAATCTATTAAAATTTATTAATATTCATTTTTTTAAAATTATATAAAAATCTATTAAAAATTCAGTTTGAATACTATTAAATTATTTAAGTGATATAAAATTCTAATTAAATATTAATAGACTTTTTGAATTTTAATAGTTTAATTTTTTAAATTTATAATTATTAATATATATTGATCATTGATGTAAATTATTTTTTATATTATAATAAAAGAATTATTTTAAAATAAAATATATTTAAAATTATATAATTTTATTAAATCTTTAATATATTATTTATAACTATAGATTTAAATTAAAATAAATTTAAAAAACATTGTTTAAAATAATTTTAATATATATAATTATTTATCAAAATATAAAATTTTATTCTTTAATTATTAAATTATATTTATATTAATTATACAGTAAAATCCTTGTGCATTAGGCATGCTAGTTTATTTTATAATTTTATGTAAAAAATAAGAGTTATCTAGTATACATCTATTGTTGAAATTGCACAAGAATAAGTCATAATAACAAGGATTTTATTTTTTAACAATAATTACTAAATTAACTTTTATTTATAATTTATGTGTTAATTCTTGAACAATAATGCTTGAACTCAAAACTACTAATTACCTTAAAACAACTATATATCAATTGATTTATATACTTATTTGCAGTAAAGAAGAATAAATTAAAGAGATTTCAAATTTTTAAATAAATTATAAATTAATTAAATTATATATATATATAATGCTAATGAAAAACTTATACAATATAATTAAAAGAGAAATAAAGTTATTTTTATCAATTTCTGCATATAAATTACAAGTATGTACTAATTTTTGAAACTGGAATGTCTTAGAAGTATTTTTAAATAATTTTAAGAATTAGTTTTTATCAAGTAATTTTTTTATATTATATATTTTCTTGATTGTTTATTAAAAAATATTTTAATTTAATGTTATTTATGTAGTGAAAAAAATGTTATTATAATTAATATCAATATATAATTTTTGAAAAGTTGTAGATCGTGGTAATGAATTTATAATTAGTAAAAAAAAATAAGTGATTGGAATATAAATTTATATAAGTTAATTTTTTACTATGTTATTTATTAAATTCAACTAAATCTATCAATTATTAGAAGTAATGTGTAGGGATGAGAAAAAAATTTCAAATTTAATAGTTCAAACCATAACCTAATCAAACTGGATTTAAAAATCTAAATTTTTAATAAAAAGAGATGTCCAATTCATGATAAAAAAAGAATTTAGATATTTTTTTTAATCTAATTCATCAAAACTGAATTTATTTTATAAAAATTGATTTTTTCTTTTTTTTAAATTTAATTTAACAGACAATGACATGACGAAAATACAAAGGTAACACGACAAATGCTTTTTTTCTAGGAGCAATATTCTGACTCATTTGCAAATCCATTTGAAAAAAATTGTAGATAAATAGGAAGTGGTAAAACATAATTATTTCTGCTAAAAGCCTAAACTTTGTTTTCATGATTTGCTACCTAATTTTTCGTGCATTCCATAATTATTATTAAATATATAAACTCTAAGTAGCTAGTGTTGTTAATTTAAATTTAAGCGATAAGTTTATTATAATATTTTTTGTATATTTTTATTTTATTTTTAAAAAACATTATTAAATTTAGTATTTCTATTAGCTAAAAAAAAAAAACCAATTCAGCAGGGACTACTGCCACAATAAGTAAGTAGTTTTTGTTTTAGATAACCTTTTAAAGTTGTGTTTGATATTAAAACGAATAAATTAAGTTACTTTTTTTAAAAAGTATTATTAACCAAAATCAAATTTATAAATTTAAAATGTTATAAAATCAAGCTAAATGTTCAACCAAACAAATTATAAAATATCACAAAACGAATATTGATAGGTAACATCTACAATTAAGAGATCTTTGAAAGAAGTTATAACAATATATGCAAATTGTAAATACATCAATCTCTAATTGCATATATTTTACTAATAAAATTTAAAATATAATTATTATATTAAAAATATTAAAATATAACAAATATTATTAAATTAATTATTACTATTTTTTATATTTATTTTTATTTTTAAATTTTTAAAATATGAAAACATAATAATTTTATCATCATTTATATTCTTAATTTTTATTTTTATAGATTTTAATTTAAATTTTTATCATTCATTCTGTTTATTAAAAATAAGTTAAAAACAATAATAAATATATTATAAATTTTTATAAAATATAATATAATTAATAAATATTGCTAAAATTTTCTTAAAACTCATTAATTTAATGTAACAGTATGTACAACTAAATTTATTAAATAAAATAATTTAAAATTTAATATGTATAATAAGTTTGTGTGATATATAGATGATAAAAAGTAGAATATATGTAAATATTTATTATTTTAATATAATATAAAAATAAGAATAATTATATTATTAATAGATAAAAATATATATAAATAATTTTTTATTAGTTATTATAAAATTTAAATATTTTAAATATAATAATTTAATAATAATATAAAAAATATTTATAGTATATTTTATTAGATTTAAAACCGGTTTTAAACTAAATTTAAATTTTAAAACCAACTTTAAACCGATTTTGAAAAAATTAAAATGGATTGGTTCAAATCCAATCCATATAATTAAATTTTAAATGGATTTAGATTTGTTTTTTGAAAATTCAATCCATGCACACTCCTAGTAATGTGACATTTTTCATATCAAATATAAATTTTAAAATTTATCTAAAATACAATAAGATGCATAAATATAATCTTTCTAAGTTAGAAGATGCTACACTTTCTTTAAAACAAGCATGCAACGGGAGTAGTAAAGTTTCACCTCCAAACTACACTTAAGGAAGTGATGAGAACATAGGATTTAAATCCATGTTCATAAATTTTATCTATTATCGTATACATTTCATTAGTCAAATCATAGTCATAACACATTATTCATTGTAGCAATAACTAAGAGATTACCGTTTAAAACAATAAAACTCATGATAATATGATCCTTTTCAGTCATTTCTATTGCTTTTACCCTTACTTTTAATATCATTTTTCACTTGCTTGATTTGTAATTTGTCGAAACCCATATAGTGAACGCATGTTTTCTCAATCTTACTAGATAAATAGATTGACATGAATTAGTTACTTTACCCCATTTAAAAATTCTCATATCATAGCTAATGTTATGAGAACCCCTTCTTGCTTCTTTGGGCACTCTCATCATCCTTGAACTCTCATTCTCAAAATTATATGATATAATATATGACCTAAAATAAAGACTCTCTTTTATAAGTAAGGAAAACAATATGAGATGAAATGAATGGCTCCATTGTGATGCATAGGCATGTCAAGTCTCAAGTTTCTTCCTCTATAGTAAAAACTTTCTTTCATTGCTTTCTACACACATTCTTTGGATAGTTAAACAATACAATCCAAATTTAACCAATCATCCCCATAAAAAAGAAACATCATCCAATTATTTGAGTTATATTTAAAACCAATAAAACTACCATTGATAAGGAGCTCTTGTCAATGACCAGGGGTTGGAATGGGAAATCAAGACTTTGTTACAGGATTAGTAATGAACACCTGGTTTTGATCCATGATCCATGACTTATACAAGAAATCGAGAACATCATTAGATATCTCAGATGATAATTCCTCTCCACGTAAAGGGTGCAACTCAAATTTTCTATTTTAAATTTAATTTTGACTATATTGGATGAAGAAACATGTGTCTGCTCTTGACAAAGTATTTTGTGTTTGCTTTAATGCAAAATATGTTTCTTTTAAAAATGTTGTGAACAACTTCCCAACAGACATAAATTTGTAAATAACCTTTGCTGATAGCCAAGAGTATATCTTAAATAATGTATCTTGAGATAATATCATTGTGTGAGAGGTTTGAGAGCAAATAAATATTTTAAAAGAAAAAATAACACTTACAAATGAACAAAGAAAAACTTTGAATGCATTCAAATATATAGTAAATCGTATTCATATATAATAGCAAGTGATAATTCAATTTTAAAATATAATATATTTGAACAAATCTTTTTTAAAATTTAAATTAAATTTAATATATATTGTGAATACCCAATTTTATCTGGTTCCCTTTCAAAAGTAAATTTCAAAATTAAAAATTAATTATAGTAATTTGATTTTTTAAGAGGTTAAGAAATAGATAAAAAAAACTAATTTAAAATTCAAATTTTCAATTTTTAAATTTAAAATTTGATTAGAAATAGTTAAAGTAGTTTGTAGATTTTTAGGAGAATGGATGAGAAGAATAAAAAAACTGATTACCAGTCATCAGAAAATAAGGGAGCCTTTATTAAAATAAATAAATAAATGTGATATAGGATTTCAGAAAATGTCTATTAACAGGAAGCTTAGGTTCTTAGAGAATAAGACCTTTTATTTTATTTTTTATGAGAAACAAAAAGAGAGAAAATTGAATTCTCTTGGAGAACTCCGAAAAGAGAGAGAGATTTGCGAGACAGAGAAGAAAATAGAAAGAACTCAAGAGAAAAAAGAGAATTCAACAGAGTTCGAGAACCAAAGAGGAAAAGCAAGAGAAGGGATCAGAGAAAGTCAAAGTACATCTTAAGGCTAATCAAGGAAGACAAATCTAGAGAGTCGAAGAATAAGTTTGATCTCGAATCTTAAACCTTCAAAAAAGGCTAACAAAAATCAGTATTTATTAGAGTAAAGGTTACTCCTTTTTTATTTCTACTTTTTGTGATTGTTTTGTTCTTTAATTATTCTATATTCCCTTTCTTATTCCTCCTTCATTCAATGTTGCTTAGAGTAAGGGTTATTCTTATCACTATTTTCATTTTGTTGGCTGTTATTCTCTATTTCTTTCTTGTTCTTTATTTGTCTTACAACCCTAGTTTTTCCAAATCTCTAAAAAAAAC